GCTGCTTGGCCTGCTGTGTTCATCCAGCTCTACACCTTGTTATCTCATTATTATAAACTTGTGTTTTGTTGCAGAAAAGAATCAATTCTAGTAAAGTCAGGTAAGTTGCATACGAGCAATTGGGAGAGAACGCTTAGTGAGACAGTGTGCATATTTTTGGGAATTTGCAGCACCATGGAAATTCAGTGCAGAGTGGAAAAGGTGCTTTTTTTCTGTTTAATTGTAAGGTTTGTTTTGTACTTTACAATTTGTGAGCCTATATTTTTCAGATTCAACTGAGCAGCGGGAGGAGAGTCCAAGTTTAGTAGCCATGGCTTCAGGGGGTCTGCTGATTGGGAAAACAAATCAAACAGTTCTATCACGGGAAAGTGGTGTGTTGATTGATTCATGATTTTAAAAAGTGTATTTTTTGGAAGAAGAGATTAACTGAGAAACAACAAGAATAAGTGAAAGTCAGGGACAATAAAGTAAAGAAATATAAGTAAGCAAAGTTGCCTAAGGAAATTGCAGTTAATCTAAGGGAAGTACATTAATAGTATTTTTACATAAGCATTATAATTTTTTTAAAAAAAGGTGTAATTAATGTGTTTAAAGGAAGTCCTAACAGCAGAACTCGCACCTGTGGTACATTTCTCCAGCGCTAAATGGCAAATCGTGGAAGCTTCAGTTGTCTCAGGTGACCAGAAGCAGGAAATTTGTCCAGCTGCAGTTCCTAGTGAATTGCATTTTGGAGCTAGAGATGCAGATGGATTCACTATGGAGCATGACTGATGCTCAGTGAGGTGGTTAAACCACAGATAAAGACTGAACTGGCAGCAAGGGCATGGATAACCACCAGGATGTGCAGAGAAATGCAAGTTGTGCAGGAGTACCCTGTGGCCTTTCTCTTTCTAAAAGATGTATTGTTTTGGATCCTGTTGGGGGAGATGGCTGTGCAGGAGAAAGAAGCGGGAGCCAACTTCATGCCACCGTGTAGATCTGCTACATCAGAAGGGATGAAGAAGAATAGCAGGGTTATAGTGGTGGGGGATTCAATTTTAAGGGGAGCAGTCAGGAATTTCTGTAGCTGCAAAAGAGTCTTTTGGATGGTATGTTGCCTCCACATTGCCAGGGTCAAGAGTGTCACTAAACGATTTCAGAGCATTCTGAAGCGGAAGGCAAATGGACAGGGACCATGGTACATACTGGTATGAATGACACTGGTAGAAAAAGGATGAGGTTCTACAAGCAGAATTTAGGGAGCTGGGAAGTAGATTGAAGAACAAGACCCAAAAGGTACTAATCTAGATGGTAAGGTTGGGGGAAGGTTGATTTTAAGAAAAGCAGGTATGATTTGGCCAGAGTGGATTGGTAGTTGACGCTTTGTGTAAATCTGTGTCAGAGCAATGGGACACATTCAAGAAGGAAACAGAGTATAGGGTCACCACATTTCCAATAAAGATAAAACATGGGACCAACAAATGCAGTGAACCTGGATATCGAGTTATGTACAGAATTGGATAATTAATGATGGTTCCTTCAAAAGGGTTAGCATATAGTTTTCAAGATGTGTGAGTTAGTGTGCAAGGTTGGGAAAAGGTGTCATGCTTTTTAATTTTCCTTGTTGAGTGAGTTCTTTTTGATGTGAATAATATGGAAGTTTACTATGGAGGCAATGGGGATAACAATTCTACCAAATTCTGGAATGCTAGCCTGTTGTGGTGTTCCACATTTTGGTGTTACAACATCAATTTGCATTTTTAGGTATTTTCTGTCTCAGTATTGTTGTAAATTTAGTTAAACTTTACTTCATAATGCTCCATGAAGCACTTTGAAATGTTTTATTGTGTTAAAGACGCTGTCTGAATACATGTTCATGAATGGTTAAACTGCCAGTTTAAATTCTTGGTCCAAATCCTCAGCAGAGTTATTTTTAAATATTTTGGGCTGTTCTTCATAAAGATTATTCACATAAGCGAACAGACAACAGCTTTTCTTTTGTTTATGTTAATTACATTGGTATGATTTACATTATGAATGACGTATTATTTACCACATACTGGGGGAGGGTATCTGTGCAAATGTACTTGTGACTTCAGTGATTAATATGAGAGTTCAGAATCTGCAGGATGTTTTTTGACTTGGAACATTTTCTGCAAATGCATCAGTCTTGAATCTTGGTGATGTTTCTGAAGTTCAGATATGGTTAAATTCCCCCGAAACGAAGCTCCTTATGACAAATCCTCCAATGTGCTCATTTCAAGAACATCACTGCTTAAATAGAGTGTAGAGTCAGATACTGAAGAACTTCTGGGACATTGAAAAGCGTGCATTTTGAGGCAAGATACTTGTTATTGATGTTTTTCTACTGCCGCTCTGTTGAAATTTGATACTGCAGCTATTTTAATAGTCCTGTTAAATTAGTCAAATAATTATGAATTATGAACAGTGCACATTCTACAATTTATTACAATCAAAAAATAGTCCTTGCTAAGGATTATATGAAGATGCTTCCTCTTACAATTACAACCTTGGGAGGAGTTGTTTGATCAAAAGGTAACACTACTGATGAGGTTTCTTTATTTGATGGAGTTTTTCAACCTCCAAGATGTCTGAATTTATTAAAGATGTACTAAAATTAACACAGTTTGATTCCTCGTGGTTGTTAAAGATTTGAAACTGATATTGATTTGTTTTCTTATTAATAATACTCATAAGGAATTCAGAGATGCTTTCAAAAATGTCATGGATTAGACCTCTGTTAAAAGGTTATTGCTTTCCTCATTTGGAATAAGCTTGGCTCTTGCCTTAAACTTTCATATTTGTAAGCGATTTGTGTCTATGTTTTGGAAAAAAAATGTTCCAGCAAACAAATGAATTTGTTGCTGGATTTTATAAATTTTTAACTCTTCATATAAAAATAATAAATTGGACAATAATGCCTTCACAGCTAAAAAGTTATTGAAGTATTAATACAGGCTATGATTTTCAATCGTACCACTAAGCAAAATGTGAATAATTTTAAACATATTTGATTGAGTCTGATTGTATCTTGAGGAAGGGAATGTGCTATAAAGGAATTCATGCACATTTGAACTGTGTTTCATAATTTACATTTCTGCTATGAACTGCAGTTTTTGTGCAAAACATGAACTGCGTGAGGGCTTTAGCCTATAAATTATTCTTCACTTGAATGATTCATGTGTAACAAGGTGAAGGCAAATGTGTTGTGCTAGTTAATTTCTGATAAGTGAATCACCTACAAAGGACTTCCAAAATAAAAAGTGCTTCATGCTTACAGTTTTCTTTATTTAGGTTGTGGAAATTGACATTCTGTTACATTTTAAAATGTGCAGTTTCAACTATGAATGTGGCATGGTTGTTTTCAGCAATTTAACTTACAAACATGATCAACAGCAGTTCAGTCAACAGGGAAAACAATAGTATAGTAGCCAAGTACTTGCATTCACTTAGCATAGTAAACCTAACCATGCTGTTCAAATAATCAGCTCACAAATACTAAATTTGGTGTTGTAATCTTAAAAGCTAGTGAAAAAATAAGCTATCTTTATGTTGTTCTTCACAGTAAACACAAATGATGGACATGATTTCTCATTTCCAGCATCTGCAGTTATTTTATTTTGTTGGATATGGAATTGTGTATGCAACTGCAAGCTATTAATTTTTTTCAGGGGAGAGTACGGGAGGTATTTTACTGTGGGCATGAAGACTAGTGGAAGAAAGGAATTTAAACTAGTCCCATTAACAAAACGATTGGGATGTTCCATAGTGTTTTGTGGCTAATTAAGTACTTTTGAAGTATAGTCACTGGTGTGGTGTAGGAAATGACAGCTCCAACAAACTGTGCTGACCAGATAATCTGTTTTAGTGTTATGGGGTGGATGTAGTTTAGGAGTAATGGCTGATTACTGCCCACTCTCTCAGTTCTGGATGAAACCTGTCTTTGAGGTAGTAACTTTGTCAAAAGCATTTGTACTGTTGTAGATTTGTGTTGTGTGTTCCAGCCCCAATTGAAAATCAGAATCGTGGATTGAATGTATTATAATTTATGTTTTTTCTTTCTTTATATAATGAAAAAATGAATTAACATCCCCCCCCCCCCCCCACCCCCACCAGTAATTCAATATCAAGCCAGAGTAAACGAAAAACACGTCCTGTATTTGTTTTAGTTTCCTAGACTCATTTGCATGATTTCCTGTTTTGGAGTTGGGGCAGAGAAACTGATCCTGAGCTTGG